CTCTAAGTCCAACTTCTGCTGCCTTCCAACAACCACCCAGAGCTGTGGGCAGCCTTCCCAGTGAGCGTGCCAGGCATCTCTCTAGGTTTACTCTGAAAATTGAGGTCAACTTTCTTGCAAAAAATGTGGAAAAAGGTCAAGCGTAAAAGTTTTAGCAAGGCTTTCCATTACATAATGGGGCAAGCCAAACCCATGAGGTCAGACCCCAGCAGGGCTTAGAACGAGTTCAAATTGGCTCTGCCATGGCTAATGTGACAAAACTGGAAGAAATACACATCTATCAAATGGAGGGTACACTGGAATGGCAAAAGTTATGGAGGGAAACTCGGGAATAGGAGACATGGAAGAAATGTAGCGAGCCCCTTCAGGAGTGTGATGCGGGAGACTGGATAACTGCTAGTGGAGTGTGGTCAGCCAGTATCTCTGAAGGGGACACCACTCTTTGTAATTATTACATACACTGCCTTTGTTTTCTAAGAGGAAGAGATTGAGTCACTATCAGGAATCAACCCATGATTCGCCACATTCTGATAATCATGCTAGAACATCTATACTTTATAAATTTGGGCCCACTAGGTTTGCTTCTCCAACACTGACTAAAACAGGAAGAACAGATAAGCCCTGGGGCCAAAATGCAGTTGAAAGATCTCTCAAGTTGGAGACTGGTAGCTTTAAAACAAAGCAGAGTGGAGCCACCATGTTTGTTATTACTTCTGTGACCATCACCATTATTTCTTTCCAAAACCATTTCACCAACACAAAGAGAAATTCTATAAGCAGTTTTTCCTCACTTCCTCCTCTCCCCTAGCCAGTGGAAACATCCAATCTTTTTCCTGTCTCTATACAATGGCTTATCTTAGGTCTTTCATGTAAGTGGAATCATATAATACTTCCTGGTTTTGGCTTCTTTTGGTCAGCATGATGTGTTCAGGGCTTATCCATGTTGTGGTGTGTGTTAGGACTTCATTTCTCCTTGTTGAGTTGTCTGCGACTCATAGCAACTCTATGTCCAACAGCTCTGAAGCCGGCTCCGTCCTGAGCCAGTCTCACTGACTCCGACACACCTACCCTCATTAGTCATTACTGTATTCCTCTTCTGCACTGTCCTTCCACCCTTCTGAGCATGATGCCCTTCTCCAAGGACCAGTCCCTTCTGGCCACATGCCCAAAATACGTGAGACGGAGCTTCAAAATCCTAGCCTCCAAGGACATATTTCTCCTTATGGATGAGTAATAGTCTATTGTAGTATGCACCATGTTTTGTTCATCTACTCATCTGTTGAGGGACACTTGGGCTATTTCCACATTTTGGCTAATACAAATGGTGCTGTGATGTACAATACACATGTATCTAACTTAGGTTCCTGTTTTTAAGTCATTTAGGTACATTATGTAGGAGTGGATGTGCTGGGTCACATAGTAATTCCCTGTTTTAACTTCTTGAGAACCCAGTCTTTCAGTTGTGGTATCTGACATTCTCCTGAGGACAGATTGGTAGTTGGATCTGGCAGAAGGGAGGAATTGTGGAGCCCTTGGAAGAAGGTATTGGGAAAATATGTTGCATTGAGAAAATCTGCCCTCTTCAAAGTGCTAGAGCAATGTCAGTTTAAAGACCGGATTTAAGCCATGGTTGTTCTGATCACTTCTGTGCATCTGAAAGTTAGACAATGAATAAGGATGGCAGAAGAAAAATCAATGCCTTTGAACTGTGGTGTAGGAGGAAAGAACTGAAATCTTATGGACTGTCAAAAGAACAAACAGATATGCCTTGGAGAAAGTGCAGCCAGAGTGCCTTTTAGAGCCCAGGGTAGTGAAACTTCACATCCTTGAGACATACTGTCAGGAGGGGCCAGTCTTTAGAAAAGGACATCATGCAGGGAAAGCAGAGGGTGAGCACGGAAGAGCATGGCCCTCAAAGGATGGACCGACGCAGCGATTGCACAAGGGACTTGAAGGTGGTGGAGATCAAGAAAACAGTGCGGAGCAGGGCACGGTTCTGACCAGTTCATAGGGTCCTTATGAGTCGTAGATGACTCATTGGCACCTAACAGTAACAGAAGGGTGTTTGCATCTGCCCACACTTCCGAAATGCCCTGTTCTGCCAGTCTTGCCCACATGACTCCATATCAGGGCTCCCTGGCAGGTAGTGAGGCCATAGGTACCACTGTGCTATGGAATGGGGGTGTCTCTGGGGCCTCGCATGGACTCAGAGGGACAGAACAGAGCAGACTCGGCTGTTCCACTGGTGGCCACTGATGCTGGTCCGCTTCAGACCTCCCAGGTTCTGCCAAAGCCACACTGTGCGCAGACATGGCACTTTAAGTAGACAGGAGAGTGGGTGGGAGCCTCCCTGAGTCCAGAGAGGTGCTCAGTCCTTCCCCAAAAGACACCCAACATCTTCTGAGCGAAATATGTTCCCACTTATGTAAGGTGAGGCCAACTGTGGAGAATTAACACCGCAAGACCAAGAAATGGGGGAACAAGCCTCAGCCACGCACAGAAACAGCTACCCTGTGAGGGCGCCCCAGAATAACTGCTGTGTGAGGGAAGCCAGAGAGGAAAACGCGGGGCGACTTCAGTAACAAAGAACCACGGGGAACACCACCATCTACGATCTACCATTCACCTGGGGGACAAGCAGGGACAACAAAGGGGGGCAAGGTGCTTTTTGGGGTAATGGGTACGTTCACTCTCTAAATTGCAGACAAGGTTTTACAGTTGCATGCAATGCCAACATTCATCAAGTCGTTAACTTTAATTATGTGCTGTTAACCATATTGCAATTATACTACAATAAAGATGGAAGGGAAAAAAGTAAGGGAGGGAAGAGAGAAGGGGGGGCAAGAGAGGAAAGGAAGGACAGGAGGTGGAGGGAGAGATGAAAGGAGGAAGAATGCAAGAGAAAACCTCCAGGACTAGGGGGGTCATGGGAGGGCTGGCTGGCACAGCTCCTGCGTGGTGCTGGGCACTGGGCCCATAAGGACTAAGGTCCCACTTGGGACCCTGGCTTGGGGCCAGGGCACAACCTCTCAGAGCTCACACTGCAGCTGGGCAGTAATAGTGCTTTCATCAAGTCTCAAGAAGCACACCCTTGTCACAGTGGGCACCCTGGGGATTGGACAGTGATGGCCTGCTGGTCAGGGAGGCCTTGAGGAGCAGTGAGGTGTCGGGGGAGCACTTGGAGGGAGCAGTGTAGAGCAGAAAACACTTGGAGGGAGCAGTGTAGAGCAGAAAACACTTGGAGGGAGCAGTGTAGAGCAGAAAACACTT